TATGACCTTTATAAGGTTGGACTATTTACTTAAAGGTTGTATATTTTAGTTCCACATATTGATGTTAGTTAGTCATGCGTGTATAAAATGTTATTATAGCTAATGAGTAAAGTGTTTTTGAATTTAAGGTTAATTGAATCCTTTACAAGAGCTAATTTCTATTTATTTATTTATTTCTAATTTATGAGTGAACATGATATTTGAAAACCCGATTTTTATACAATTCTATCCTTAATAAAGGTTGAAAGTTTGGTTTAATCTTGGCAATAATTTTTCTTTTATTTTCTCATTTAATTTTTCTCATGTCTTTTTTTTAATTCATCGCACTTTTGCCTTTGTTTGCATCAAATTAATTTGAAAATTTTGAAAATCTATATGTGAAGCTTTGATTGTATTTAGTCGTCCTTTAGAATTGCTAAATTGTTTTGTTTGTGTTCTCGCCTAAACTCTAGCTAAACTGGCCATAAAAAAAAAAAAAAAATCTTTCTTAAAGACTCTAAATTGTAATAGACTGCTACATATTTTTTAGGTTTGGCAAGATGATTTTTTGCATAATGATGGATGGTCTAATTTATGTTTTGTAGCTTTTTAGAGACCACTCATCTTGAATATAATTGGTATAACTTCGTAGTAAGAGGTGACTTTAATGTGATGTGTTGTTTCATTTTTTTATCCTCTCTTCTTATTATTTGATATACTAATGTTTAATTCTCGTTTTAACAAATAAAGCAAATTCTATTTTCGTTTAATTAGCCAAATAAGTAGGTGTTTAAGTTTGAAATTCGCTTAGGCAATGGTTGTAGGTTTGAATCCGGGAAGCCCAAATCAATTATCTCCCTACTTTATAGTTGTAGAGTTCTAGATGTTGACATATTGCCCATTGTTGGGTTCAATGTTGAATGAGGAGGACAACAATGGTAGGTCGTGGCGACTAAGTGACAATGATGTGGCTTTTAATGAGGGGAAGATCGACAGATTTGTTGTGAGGGAGAGATTTTCTTTTCTTTTTTTAGGTTCTTTTGGCTACTCCTCTAAGATAGTGAGGAGAGAGTGAACAATGCTATGGTCGACAATAGTGAGGTTTTTCGTAGTGATGAGGGTTTTGAGTGAGGGAAATGGCTACCACTTAGTGGTGGATGGTTGATGGTTCAACTCGTTATGGTGCAACTAATGATGTTGAAGGAGGACGATAAAGGCTTAAAAGTAGCGGTTAGGGTTTGGCAACATATGAGAGTTTGGGGGAGGAAAAATAGTGCTTCCTTCACTATAATTTCAATAGTTTCAAAATTTAAAGAATTAACAAAAGTTAATTAAAATAATAATAGTTTAGTTTCTTTTTTCATTTACTTAAATAAAATTCGGTTTATAATTTTTTTTCGTTCCAACGTATTAGTCAAAACTATCATGCAACAGCTTAAAAAATATCATATGGCAAAGATTGCTAGACACGTTATCAAAATTAGCTTTGAGGTGATTTCATACATCAAAACTAAAAAAAAAAAAAAATCAAAAGTTAGGTAGCAAATTATTAGAAATCAAGAGTTGGGTACCAAAACAAGAAAAAAAAATTCAAATATGAGACACCAAAAATGCCATTCCAATCTAATTACGAGTCCACATTACTAAGAAAAAACTAATATAAAACATGATTTTACTATTTAAAATACTCGTTCACACACTCACAAATCACTATTCCTTTCACTATTCATGTCATTTTTTTAGCACTTTCGTCCTCAATATTTCTATATTTATTTTTCTCAATTTCAAACTTTAATGATATTGTGATTTAGTTTCATTTTGTTTTAGTGTTTTGTTTTAATTATTTTTATTATTTAAAATTTACTACTTTAATTTGTGTTTTTTTTAATATAGTCATATATATTATTAATATTATGATCATATAATAATAATAATATTTTTCAACACTAAGCATTTACTATTTAATTATTTATTTTTGAATTAAATAATTAAAATAATGTTTTAGCTTAACCACTCAATGATTCAAATTAATATAGTTTTTCATTTTAATAGTATCATTCTTTTGTAAATAAATATAAAAAAATTAAATTCATATTTTTTCAAAAATTGATATTCTCATCAACATTTTATATATATATATATATATATATATATATATATATATATATATATATATATATATATATATGTATGTATAATTCTATGTAAGCTTTTAATAATTGTTATTAAAATTTCAAACTTTAATTTTATTGTGATTTGGTCCCATTTTTTTTTAGTGTTTTCTTTTAATCATTTTTATTATTTAAAATTTACTACTTTAATTTGTCATTTTTTTTAATATAGTCATATGTTATTAATATTATGATCATATTATAATAATATTATTTTTCTACACTAAGCATTTTTTATCTATTTATTTATTTTTTAATTTAAATAATTTAAATAATTTTTTGGCTTAACCACTTAATGATTCAAATTAATATAATTTTTTATTTTAATATTATTCATTCTTTTGTAAATAAATATATACAAATTAAATTCACATTTTTTTCAAAAATCAATATTCTCATCAACATTAAATAAATAAAAATTTGTTTAATTCTATGTAAACTTTTAATAGTTGTTATTTAAGTTTTTTGACATAATCTTATGAGATACTAAAGCTTTTTTAAAAAAAATTATTTAATTTTCTTTTTAGTTAATAATTCATGGATTAACAAAGATAAATCTTTTTTTTAAGAAAAAATTATGATAAACACAAATAAGAAATAGTTAAATACAAAAATATTTATTACAAAATTATAAATATTTTTTTTCATCTTTGATTTCATATATTTTTTTTAATAATTTTATATATTTTATCCAAACTACAACGTAACGCAGTACAAAAGTGAAAACCACATAGCTTACATATATACCGAGTAAATTTAATACATATGTACACATAGCTTATATATATATATATATATATATATATATATTGCAATGACTAAGGTTGTGTTTGTACCGAAGCAAACCCATCGCCCCTGCATGCTGGTTGCTGCTTTCACCATGTCATCACCAATATCAGCAACTTTTGTTCATTTTGTTGAACACAGCCATATCTAACTCAGTTAATGTGATCATCTTGATCTACCGTATCACCATCTCCGCCTACAACACTACCAATGCAAGACATCTTTAGACATCATCATCATCATGACCACCAAATTCGTGTAAATGCCATGCTACCTTTATGCCTAGTTAGCCTTGCCATTGCCTTGGTGCTAGCACCTTTATAATCTCTAACATAGCATCAGATTACGTGGCATATATCAAATATTCCAACAATAACAACACTACCGCCCTTTCCAAACCCCTGCCTCTACTATTACACCAAAATCCCAACCAAACTCAACCTGTTGACATTCAAAATCGTAAGAGTAAAGTTCGAAATTGAGAACATTAGAGTCCAACAACTCCATGTCTTGAAACTTCCACAGCTCAAAGCTTTAATTTTCAAAGAAAGGAAACCTAATATGATATGATATTTACTGCCAACTGCCAAGGCAATGAGCCACTAAATCTATGTGGTTTACCTGTCAATATAACTGGTATGGGAAACCTCTGATTGTGTTGGAAAAGCACCTCAACCTTCACATATTAACTTCACACAACTCTTGATGCAAGTGAATAACCTACTTCTCCTTCTGGTAGATTCCCTGTGTGAATACTACCATAGTATCAAGTACAATGTCACCCGACATCCAAATCTATAAGTCCTGACAAGAGCAGATAACTGTACCAATCATCTTCACCAAATGGCATACCCTTAACTTACACAGTACATCATACAACCTGTGTGAATCAATTTTGACACAACACAGCATCAATAGTCAAACCACAAGATTCAAACGAGCATCATTGCTTTCTCAGAGAACAGATTTCATGTTCAGTTTTTCATGTAATAATCATCTAATTCTAAAATTCAGTGCTTCTAATTGCTCAAGTGAAAATTTTAGAACACACAACCGTCAACCAATAAACTCAAACTAGGAGGTTGTGTAGGCCCCTTTACTATAAATGGCCATTAACATATTCACATATAAATACGTGACCAGTAAGGGATTACTTATGAATCGCCTCACAGGCAAGCTTAACAGAACTACAATTCACAGAGTATATACTTGATAACGACAAAAGAGATGACATAGAGCACAGAAGGATCATAAAAGGGTAAGTTCAAATGCCAGAGAAGTCTAGAATTATATTTTAAATTTAGCTAGATTCTTTTAGGTACCAAGTTTTTCAGGTTTTAAAATTAGTGGAACTCTATTTCTGGAATGAATATATTTTCAGGAAACAAGCTCCAAGCCAGAGGTGACATGCACGAGTCTAGCAAACCAACTCATTTGGTTTTTCTACCCATTGGAACTAGTCCAAACATGAAAGCAAAGCCATCTACTAGGGCTATTCGTGAATCATGACCCACATCAGGATGTTCACTGAAGTGTTAGTGCTGGCATTGCAGGTTATACATTACAGGCTGCTTTGAGAAGCCACCAACAAGGAAGAGACAGTAATGTCATTCAAGGGAATGTTCTTGCAACCACGACTTCAAAACTTAAGGTCGAGTTTTCATCCAGCTCGGGGAGGATGATGCAGGCAACAAAAGGATAAGATTTATGTGTTCTATTTAATTTCTAGAAGCAGGGGTATTAAAATTCAATCACATGTAATTTAAAGGGGCAGGAGAAAAAGAAACTATGAGTCATGAATCTATTAAAAAAAAAAATCTCATCTACTACCTCATTTTCCTTGGCATCAGTAAGTTTGAAACAGCTAAGACTACAAGCAGAAAGAGGATAAAACAACAGTCATGGTGCCAAAGAGGCACAATTTCAAAATCATCGTATGTGACAGAAACTCATCAACTACAAACTACATTAGAAGCCTCTACCAAGGCCAGATGAAAAAAAATAAAAATATACAAATACAAACATGCCGAATTGCAATAGTAGGGAATAGAAAGATTACATCATCTATCTGATAGTGACAAACTTGTTCGTACCGTGTTTAGCCCAGTGGGTTCTAAGATCAATCGGATTAGAAAACTCATAGCCTTCACCAGCAAGTTTCTCTAATACCTTCTTAAAAGCTCCCGAACTCATTTTTCTCCCTGCTATCCTTGCACCACGCCTTTTCGTACTCATAGGCAGGGGATACATAGATATGCAAGTCGTACAACATGCTGATTGCCACCCACCACAACCCCAACGATAACATTGTTGGTGGGTGCCAGTACATGAGCAAACTGGTATAGGAATGACTGAAATGTCCATATTGATCCCATTTATCATAATTTCGGCTGTTTTCTTGGCAGACCTTACTCGTTGAACAGAAGGACTACCCTCAGGTTTGGGTACTCGAGGGCCTCTCGTACCCTTCTTTGCTTTAGGGGATTTCAGGGCTTTAGGACGCTGCCTCTTCTTATCAAGACCATTTTCCTTTTCAACAACACCAGCCTCTTCAACTTGGTCGAGCATTTCATCATTTGCCGAATCAGGTTGTTGAAACATTTGCATATGATGACCTGAAGATGTTTCAGGCAAAACCGCTGCATAATTATGGTTTCCAGGCAACCCATTGAGAAACTTTTCTCTCTGGCCAATCCAAGCATCCCTCATGTACTCCATAGGGAACATTGGCTGGGAAACCCCAATATCTCTTTGGTGAAAACCTCCATTCACACTTGTCATGATCGCAGCACTGCGCGCACCCAAAAATGGTTTCTCAGGTGGCGACATGAGCTGAAGACCCAGATTTCCTTTAACAGATGTTGGTTCATAGTAACCCCAATTGCGAATATTCAAACTGTTATCTTCATCCATTATTTCAAACTTGGACAATTCAAGATAACTTATTTAACCTTAGCACAATGTGTTGTCAGCATTGTGTTCACCCAAAAATCTTCAAAAGATTAAGAGACACAAAAATTAATTCAAACCCAAATCAGAGAAATCAATAAAAAAAAAATTAATGCTCAGATTGTCAAATCATAGTAAACTTTGTATCTTGAAACTAATAGAAAGTCACAGATAACAGAATTAATAAGCCAAAAAATAAAGGAAAAAACATATGGGTCATAGTCAGAAAGTAAGATCTTCAAATTCTTTGCTTTGTATGATAAACTTTCCTTTAAAGAGAATAGACAGCCATGAGTGTAGCATTAAAAAAAGGATAAAGGGACTTACGTGGAAGAAGACGAAGATAGCCTTTTAGGGTTCTTCTTCTCGTCTACTGAAGAAGCACAAAAGCGAAGCTTTTTTTTTTTTTGTTAAACAGCGTCAAATTGAAGTTATGCTGCTTATGCACTCCATTTTCTTAGTTGGAGAAAACTCAATTTAGTAACAAATCTATACACTTATTTTCAATTGCACACCATTTAAAAATTTATCAATTTAAGTCCTAATCTTTCTTACATTTCTCAATTGCACACCATTTTCCTTTAACTTCATTTTTTGGACGTGCACTACGGTCTATAACTAAATACAAGGGTTACATAATGTCAGTAAAATATGCATGTCGATTAATTATTCAAATTTAATAGTTTTTATATTATTTTATTTAAATTCAAAAGTTTAATTTTGGTCATATTGACATTCTAGACTCACCCGTATACCTATATATTTTTTCTTCTTTTTTCGATGTGAATACTAAGAGTTTTCATAAAATAATGTTCATGTATGGAGATTACATACCTTTCATTTTGGTTCTTTGCCACGTCATCGATATTTAGATTGAATTTATTAAAAAAAAATATTTTCCCAATAATATCATTTTATGTTCGAATTAAAGAAGATAATACAAGAATAGTTACTTAATCAATTTAATTTATTAATTTTTTTCTAAATAATTTCATTAAATATGGGGAATATGTATTAAGTTGTAAAGACCGATGAGGATGTGGTCTATAGATATTATATCGATATTTAGATTGCATTCATAAAAAAAAATATTTTCCCAATAATATCATTTTATGTTTGAATTAAAGAAGATAATACGAGAATAGTTATTTAATCAATTTAATTTATTAACTTTTTCTAAATAATTTCATTAAATATGGGGAATATGTATTAAGTTATAAAGACCGATGAGGATGTGGTCGATAGTTTAGTACGTTACGTAGAGTCGGCATGACGAAACTCAAAAACACTTAAACAAAAAATCAAAGGTAAAGAGATTATATATACAATAAATGATAGATGATGCATTGATAAATATAAAAATAGTTAAGTAGAAATGAGACGTTATTTTACCGATATGCCAATAGTCTACTAATATATAGAACACATAAGATGAAATCAACAAAAATATCATCCAATTCATAGATAATTAAATGAAAACAAAGCATAGAAAGATCAAATATCCAAATTAGCTAAGCACATATATAGATTAATATTGGTTCCTCTAGTCCTCAAGGGTCGTCGTTAAAAGTTATTGAATTTCATAAATTCATATTTCTTTACAACTCAATTTCTACTATGTAAAATATTGATTTTAGACCATTTGATATCCTTACATATGTACAAGATTTTTTCACTATTTTCTAACTAAATGTCTTTACACCCTTGTAGGATATCTACTATCTTTTCTAACTCACTATCACAAAGATCTAGATTAGTAATCACGGCTTGTATGAAAAATAGCCTAGTTTTGCTCTTTTCACTTTATAGATATTACATGGATTTAGTTCTATAATATTTTGTACTATTATTTAGAATATTATTTTGTATTATTGTTTAGAATATTACTCAAGTTCTTGCTCAACTTTTTTATATCATGATATCTTTTGAAACAAAGGCTATTTATAGCCTTCAATAATATAGCTGGTATAGATTGTTTGGTAAAAAAATCATTGTGGATAGATCACTAAATAAATCGATCATAAATAATTACTTTCTTGATATATATTCCGATGATCTTTGCTAGAATAAGATTCCAATTGACTTAATGCACCAATGGTTATGGATTGATATCCTTTCTTATTCCTTTAGGAATATGATCATTATATTTATTAAATTTAAATCATTAAATTTAAATTGAATGGTCATGATTTAGTGTATCATAAAAAAAAAAAACATAATGCCTTCATAATTATTTCTTTCACCTAATCTAAGTCATTGAATTCAAATCAATAGTGAAATTTACAACATGATCGCGTTAACAAGATGAAAGAATCCAAATCCCATAGTTACAAGCCTATAAAAGGATAATTTGATCTTTGATGGAAATCATGTCAATCCTTAAGAGCAAGTTATGGTCGGTCATGTGCTTAAATACATACTAGAGATCTTTAAATCTTCAACGGTCTTCCATAATAATAATAAAAAAAAAAGATATAACTTTCATAGACCTTTTTGGCATTCTTATATGTCGATCGAAACAACTTCTTCCTTTCTCACAAGGACTATATAAAGGACTATTATATTGTCGCTATTTGACATATGGGACTTCTAATTTAAAAAGAGTTAAAAAAGAAAGTCGTCATCTAGTATTAGAAAAATCTAAAACATCTAATAGAGATTACAAATAAGGAGTTGGTTATGTTCATTGAGAAGATAAAAATCACCTAAAAGCATCTTTTCCTACACAAAAAAAAAGTTACAAAAATTGCTTTATACTTGAGTCATTTCCTAAATACCATTGTTTACCGAGTTATTTCTAAGTCTCGTCTTCAAGTTTATCGATGAGTCGGTGTCGTCATAAACTTGGAATTAATCTAGGAGAAATTAATTCTTCACACTTTCGACTAAGGTCGCTTTGATCATACAATTTTTTTTATCATTTATCATAAAATTGTACTAAATTAATATTAGATGCTAAAAATAGGAATCGCATCAATTTAACATCGGATTCAATTAAATTCAAACATGATCGTCATGTCAAAAACATCTTAACGAACTAAAAGCCTATTGATTACTCAAAACTAGCTCATAAATAAAAACTTTTCACACACACATATATATAAGTTTTAAAATCTAACGGATCAATGTTGGTCTCTAAAATGTAAGAGACTCATTGATCCAACGTTAAATCCCAAGACAATAAAAACTACATCTAAAATTTACTCATAAATCAATAAAGACATTTCAAAACATTATACAAACAACATATATTAAACAAAACCATAATTCTAAAAGATGTGGAGGTGAGACTCGTTCTCGAATTGTTCACCATTACATAGAATAATGTGGACGTAGAGTGTTTTAGTCGTGCTCGCCTTCGTAGCTCCTCTCGGTCATCCCTTTTTTCTTTGTCTTGTTTCCTCTCTCGTTTGCCATTCATTTCTTGCCTTTTTTTGTTATACTTCATTTGTTATGTTCTTTTGCTTCGGTTTATATCTCCTCTCAATATACGGCATTTGGTTATCTACTTAATTTTGGCTTAACCATTTGATGGTGCTCGTTAGGTTACCTTTCTTCTCTATTCTTTTAGTTTTCTTTAATTCTTCTTTTGGGCATGGCCGTAATGGACATTTAATGCTCCACTATCATGGTCCTCCAAAATCAATTGAATTATAACTTTTCTTTCCAAGTGTTGCCTCAACTTGTAGGAATTCATGAGTGCCATCTAAAATCTAACACCCCACCATTGATTTTCAATTTTCAATTGTTGTTCTATTTTGTTCCTTTCGGCCAAGTGGCCTTTTTGTTTTGTGTTTTTTCATCCCATTTGTTCTTTTTTGTCCATGGTTATCGTGTGGGGGTGCTAGGTGTCTTGGGCTTGTCCTTTCCCATCAACTCGCTTCGAGATTTCCCCTTATTTTATTTTGTTTTTCATGTGGTCCTTCATCCTTGGAATTGGTGTTTCTTATTCGTCATGCCTCTCGAAGATTGCTGGGATGTCTCGTCCGTCGGCTTGCTCTTCTATTGCATGTTTAATTTAATTATGACTAGATAAGTCTTTGTTTCATATCTAATATGGTTCTTTTAGTCGTTTATTTATTTAGATGTTTTTCTTTCACATATCGATTACGGTTGTTGAATTTTATCTTTCGTCAAGGAGTGCCTAAATTTTGATCTCCTCTCCTTTTTGTTTGCTTTGATTAAATTTATTTTGTTGCTTCCTTTAAGCCTTGTTTTTTAATATATAATCATTCATTTTATTTGTTTCCTTGCCTCATATAGTGTTTTTCTTTTTCTTTTTTTTCCTTCGTTTTGTTTTCATCCCCTTTTAGTGCTTGTTAGTTTTCTTTTTCTCTTTTTGTTTTTTCCTTTACTCGTATTCTCATACTTGTTGCTACATTTTCATTTTAAATTACTTTTGTCTCGTTGTTTGCCCGCTCGACTTGTTGCCTCGTTATATTTTATCGCTTTCTATTAAGTATGTTTGTTATGTTTTCTTTACTCTTCTTTTGCTTTGTTGTGGTTTTTACTATCTCTTTTCCCGTAAACTTCTTTGTTTGCTAGTTTTCTTTCTTTAATGTTTGTGCCTTGCTTCTCTCGTTTGTAGATTTTCTATTTCCCCTATGGTTGGCTTTGTATATACTACTATTCTTTTTTTAATTTTTTTTTTTTTTCGTATCGTGCCCTATTTTTCTTAGGTTTTCCGTTTCATTCTTCTCTTTTTTATTGGTACTTTTTCTTTTTATACTATTTGCATCCTTCTATTTTTATTGTATTCCTTTCTTCCTATATCCCGGTTGTTATTGCTACTTGATTTTTTATAGTTTTTTCTTTTTATTGTCGTTATCTTTCTTTGTTTCCTCCCTTTTAAAACTTTCACTCGTGCTTTCTTTGTTGTGTTATTCTTGCCTCATCAAGTTATTTAGTTTTGAGTTTTCAAAAGCATTTTTCATTATCTTTTTTCCCTTATTTTGAACAATTAT